CTTTTATTTTGATTATTCATTATGTTGTTTTATTCTATAAAAGAACACACTTGTATTTAAAATTATACTATTAATGCAATGGATGATGTTGTTTCTTGTTTACTACTTTACATATTTGTGATACTTTACATGACGTCCTCCGCCTCAAAATGTTTCTGCCGTTCTTGGTTTTGGGGTGTGACAGATTGGTATCATAGCATTGTTTATAGTGAATTTAGTATAACAACTCATAAAAGATATGCATACTATAAATACAATGGGATTAAAATACTCTGACCAAGAGTTTATACTTTTAAATAATAAAATATTTAACAAGTATACATACCTGCATTCATACTAAAAACAATGTCACAATGACAAGAACAAAAGTATTACGATTGTTGATTATCACAAGTAAGCTCGGGATGTATGGTTAGTCCTGGGAGTGGCATAGCCTGATCAACTATGCTGGTCCGAGGAGTGATTAGCATATGCCCAAGAATGGTTGTGATATGGCAATAAGTCTAAAAACTTATCAACACTACTACAATAAAGACATTAGGAATATCATGTGTTACTATAAGTACTTAGTTGAGAACTAAAAAGATCTTCATTACTAGGTCAATAATTGCTAAGTGGATACACTAAGGTTATATGTAACTAGGATGTCATAGACTTAGAATCTGTGAATTTTTGCTTTACCCCTGTTCCTTGTGAATTTGGAGTTAAGGTCACTTATTCGAAGGCCTATCCTGTTTTGATTACATATAACTAGTATGCACTTTACAAATAGTGAAGTAACTAATGAAGATTATCTTATAATTATCTAGTTAGTTTGTCTAATAATTATTTTCCTTACCCTAATTCTCGCATAGATAACATGGTTGGACTCCATCCCCACGACGACTCGTACCTTCCGAACGAAGGAAACATCGCATATCAAAATTATGGCATCTCCTCACATTTCACATCATCTATCTATCATCACCTAGTTATCATCACCTTTCTATCATCAACCGTCACTACCCAATATATATTTATAAGTATAAAAATACATATACAGTTTAAATCATGTAAACATGTATAAATCGTTCATCTAGCATAGATATCAGGAACACAGATAATATGCACACATAGCACGTAATTTATATTAAATACTTCATATCTATGTGTAAGATGAAAGTAACTATCCACTCACTTGTTAAAGTGATAACTCGAAATTCGGACAGCGCTTCGCTTCTAACAATCGTCTTTCCTTCGATGAAACCTAGCATTTTTATTATTGCTATGTTTTAATCTAATATTTATTGCAACTAATTTACTCAAGGTCTACGAGCGATATTGTTTTATAAGTGTTAAACAATACTTTTCAACTACTATGTATAGACAGGGGCCAAACATGAAACACGGGAGGGCGGGACCATTTTGGCATTTAAGCTGTTCTGAAATCTAACAACCCTATGAGGCCCTTCAAACCAGATTCCCATACCGCGAGCAGTTAAAAAGTATTATAATAACACTTTTTATAACTTATACTTAGCTCATATATTTCTTAGGTTCATAATAACGATAATGAACTTAAATATAAGTTATACTTAAAGAAGGGTAAGCATAACTCACTTACAATGGGGTTTGGCTAGGACTGGGCTTTGCGGGGGCAGAACTTTCGAGCCAAAAGCTCTTCTTCTGGGAGCCTTTTGGCGCTCCAGGACTCGCCTCTGAGCACTTGGGAAGTATTACGGATTGGGAGGGGTTTCGAGATATGTTTGAGAGAGAAAGAAAGGCTTAGGTGTGAAAAATATGGGAGAACCTCACACCTATTTATAGGAGGTTGGATGCGAGTGCACGTGGCGTACCTTGGTTGTATGCTGGGCGTACTCAGTATGCAGGGCGTACGAAGTGCTACATTGCGTATACGAGGGCCAGCCGTTGAGATCCAAATGCGAGACCGTGGGGAGAAAGAAAGGGTCCGGATGGCGCCATGTGGAGAAAGTTGGGACCGTGTATGCAAGTTTGCGAGGCATAATTCTAGTTGTGCGAGGCGTACACGTGCCACGTGTCACCCTCGCATCCATCCATAAATTAATAAACTTCTAAATTCCGTAACTTTCGCATATGATCTCTGTTTTGACGTTCTTTATATCCACGCATAGGTATCGACAGGATTTACAACTTTTGTTTAGACTCTAGCGACTAATTTTGACTTTATTTTTAAAGTTATATTTTAACAGATTTAGACAGTTAAAATCCGTTAAAAATTCATAACTTTGTCATTCAACGTCCGTTTTTTTCTGTCTTTATATCGTTGAGCTCCTATTAACGTGATCTTCGATTCTCGTTTAAATTGTGTCGGTTAAAAATCGATCGATCTAAATTCGAAGTCCGAGTTGTGTATTGTTATGCTAAATCTTAGAAAAATCATAACCTCCTCATATGAAGTCAGATTTGGACGTTCTTTTTATGAACACTTTCGGTTTAACGTATACTACGACTTTCGTTTCGATCGCTAAGGCTAAAAAGTAATTTATCAAAAAATCACTTTTTACGTTACGCGGTGCCATGCTGGTTTAGCCGTAAAACTTCAACGGGTCATAAGTTCTTCGTTATAACTCGGATTTCATCGTTCTTTATATATACGAAACCATTGTGATATATACTATAACTTGGTCAAGATTATTTATTCTAAATAATTTTTTTTTATCAAAAAAGGTTATTATTGACGCTTATTGTCTCTAAATTAAGTAGCTTGAATCTACGAGCGTTACAATGTCACTCTAATGTTGTAAGCTTCAACGTAAACACCCTAGATTTGACACAGAATATTCTTTGTTTTAACAACCTCTGGATCTGAGAACCTGCAAACAAGAAAACAATAGGAAGTAAGTGAAATATGAGCAGTAAAATAATAAATGAGGAAATCAGGATACAATCATATGAGCAAGAGGTATGTGCCAAACTACTGATCAACAGACAAAACATATAAACAAGTGAGAAACCGATTTACTCTGATACTTACGCCTCGTTCCCGAGTTTTAGCAAAGAAAAAGATAAGAAGAGAAAAGAAAGTAAGACAGAAAAGAAGAGAAAGGAAAGGAATATAAAATTGTCTTTCATGTTCCTGAGTCGGAGAAAAGTGAAAGGAAAGTTAAACTTTTTGTTTTTTCTCTCCAAATCCGTCCAAATCGGAAGGAAAGTTAGGAGAGAAAATGATCATTCTATTTCCTTCCCTGCCTCCCATTTCATTCCTTTAATGAAACTCGAGAGCACTAATTTCTTTTACTCTCCTCTCACTTCCATCAATTTCCTTTCTTTTTCTCTCGTTAAGTTGAACTCGGGAACGGGGTGTTAGCCTTCAAAGCCTCCTATATGAGGTCATGTCCTCGGAAAAGAGAAAGCTCGTCTATTTCTACCGCACACTATCTTCCCACTTTCTTCTAAAACATCCCATCTTCCTCTTACCCTCGATCGTTATTGACTTTACTTTCCTTATGGTCGTTGAAGGTGGTCGCCTAAATGCATGCTCATACCACCTCAAACGTCGTTCCCTTATTTTTTGGGTAATCCACGCCACTCCCAACGAGTTTCTTATGGTTACATTTGGGATCGTATCCAACAATATTCTACCGTAAGTCCACCTCAACATCTTTATTTATGCTACTTTCATCTTCCTTCCGTGGTCCTTTGTTGGCTAACATTCTGGTCCACACATCATGGAAGGCATAACTACCCTGTAAAATCCCCCCCCCCCCTAGTGTCAACGATACCTTCATGTCATATAAAAATCCTAAGATTTCCCTCTATTTTAACCAACTTTTCTTAATGCGATGAGTAACGTCTACCTCCACACCCCTCCCTTATGAACCATGGAATCCAAATACTTGAAGCTCTCCTTTGGGGTAAGAGCATACTCCCCTAAACTTACATCTATTCCTTCGTCATCCCCCCCCCCCCCCCTCCTTGAAATTTCACCAAAGGTACTCAGTCTTAACATCACTGATGCATAACTCTTTTTCTTCTAATGTCACCCTCCATGTATCCAACTGAGCATTCAACTCAACCCTAGACTCGGCCACCAACACAATGTCATCAACAAATAACATACACCAAGACACTTCCCATGGATCTCACAAGATATCTCATGTAGAATCAAGGCAAAAAGATACGAGATGAGATCCGAGCCTTTATTAAGCCCGATTTTAACTGGGAACGGATCAGTGGTTGTGTTCGGATACATGTCATAAATCTGGCAATACATATAACGAATAGCCCTCACATAACTCCTAGGGACCTTCTATCTTCCAATGTCCTCCAAATTTCCTCTTCTGGAATGCTATCATATACCTTCTCCAAGTTGATGAACACCATATGAAGATCCGTGTTTCTCTCTCTATATTTCTTCATAAGTTGTCCTCAGTCATCAACCTCCCAGACATGAAACCAAATTGGTTATCTATGACCGGCGTGACACTACACAACCTAACCTCTATACTCTTTCCCATGGTTTCAAGGTGTGATTGAGCAGCGACATAATGTTTGAGATGACTTTCTAATATTCTTTGTTGGTTTATACGGTAAAAAAAAAGTTTGAATATGACAAAATAGATAATGGCAGTCATTTTTTTTTTCAAAATTACATTACATCGTACAAATATCTTTTTTTCTTTTGAAAAGACAAGGATCTTCACCGAAAGTGGCAAAAGGTTTTCGTAAACTTTGGTTGCAAATATTACAATTTTCTTCGATGATATTGCAAAGTTCTGAGTTGAAAAATACGAAATGTGTACTGCTACAAGAGGTATTCTCAAACCCCATTTTGTGGTTTGAAGAGTTTTCTTGAACGATCATTTCTGTTAAATATTTAATTCATAATAGTTGTTAATATCTATTTTTTTTATCACCAATAATATGTTTAGATTTGGTTTTTTACTTACAAAATGTCTTGGGCGAGTTGTAAGTATGACATTCATCATCACGCATTCTTTTAAAAACAAAATTATATAATTTCAATTATCTTGCGTGTTGTCGGTAGTTAAACATACAAGCTAAAGCACAAATAATATAACAAACGAACTAGTTTCAACCAAGTTTTTAAACACTTCTAATAATATCGAGCATTATAATGTTGAGCATACATATTTAGTCGATTAATATACGGAGTAACCCATGCGGAAGCACACACATGTTTGAAATGAACCCATTGAGGCACAACCGGAGGCATTGGATACCCTCCTTGTAAATCTAATTTGACATAATGGTTATCATTAACATGTCCAACCGCAATAGCCACATGTTGATACCATACAGGCGGAGTAGACCGAAGCGGTAAATAGGTCATACTATCTCCAACATTCAAACAATGTAATATTACATTATACCTTGAAGCAATCAGGATACCTATATCATGCAAAGTCATCCAATACTCCAAAGACGCAGCTATATCCGAACGAAAAAAATTCAAAGAGTTGTGAAGTTTTAACCGACATTCCCGTCCAAAAATCTCATCATATTCATCCCTATGTGTATTCAACTCTTCCATTAAATCATATCGAATAGTTGGCCATGCATCTTCATTAAAACCAAGACAAACAGCTATCGCTCGAAACCCACAGTTTCCATCACTTTTTACATTATGTATGTGTGTTATATACGGATGAAACAAATTAGGTAATTGATTTATGTATGAGCATGAGTGGTTTTTTTGCTCCATATACGAACTATGTCTCAATGGTTCATGGTTCATACGTCTAAAAGGTTCTTCGGTTGATGGAATGGTTAACTCTTTTAACTTCCCGAGGTATTTCTGGCGTGCATTATATATCGTTTGGAGTGAAGACACGTTATCTTTATTTTGTTCCTTTAATGTTGATAAAATATCAGATGGTTTCACATTTTTCTTTATCAAATCAACCACCAAACGAGTTTCCTTATCAGACAATCGCATTGCATATGGATGACCCTCCATACTTGATGCAGGTTCATGATTATGTTTTTCACATACCACTTGTAAAGTCCAAATACCATACAACTTCGAGTGTTTTCCAGCCAATTGGAATGGACAATTAATTTTTTTTGACTTGGTATTTCTAGTAGAGGGTTTGACGCTTTTGTAGATTCCACCACGATCACACATAAGTGTAGTTTTAGATATCCACCCACTTGGTTTTACCTTGGTTCTTTTAATGATGATAATGTAACCAAGTGAACGTCCTTTATTTTGTACCCATTCAATTAAATCATGATGAGTCTTGAACACCTGAAAATTTATTTATCTTTTGTTAAAAATAGATTATGTTGCTTGATAATTTAGGAAGATGAAATGAATAGTAGTAAAATAAAATACCATACCATGTCTGTGGAAAATGCTGATTTATGAGAACTCGTCATTTGCTTTGAATGGGCGAGATGATAATGACTGTTGAGAGTAATATTTCCAGTATTTGAAATTTTATAAAGGGTTATGCAATAATAGTAGTATAAATTATTGTAAAAAACAAATGTGTTCTGAGTTATTACTTATTAGCTTTAAATGATGTAAATTACATTATATAAAAATAATAAGCTAAAAGTTATTTTTGAAGTATTTTCGAGATTAAAAGTTTTTTTTCTTTTTTTTAAATAAAACTAAAATCTTCTATGTGCCGAAACTTTTTGTTGAAAGCAAAGTCAAAAACTACACCCTTAACTAGAGATACAGGCATATGACATTATTTTCGTATTCAAATGCAACCGGAAACGAGAACTTAATTATTTTTAAAAATTAAATAAAAATTTTTATATATATTAACTGACGGTGTAACCCGTACTTCAATTTAATAGAGAAATAAAACAATATTTTATTATCATGGTCATATCCAATTTTACTCTATTTCGTTTAACTATTATTACGTAATATTGATGAAATAAAATTAAGTTTATAGATTTACTTTCATCTTAATTTTAGGGGTTAACTTAGGTACGTAACAAATTATTAACACAAAATGGTTTAGATTATATTATAGTATTATACTAAAACGTACATTACTTTATAACATGTGAATTGTAATTATACATAAACTTATATTTAATTGTAAATAAAAAGGAAAATGACTCTTGAGGGTAATTAACTTTTGCGTTTGTACTCATTTGGTCCCTTTTATTTTTTTTGTATTCAATATACCATCGAACTTGTTGTTGATGTTTACCATAGCCCTTTTGACCGGCTTTTGACCTGTGATAGCCGGTCAAAGGGTTATGGTGAACACAAACAACAAGTTCGATGGTATATTGAGTACAAAAAAAAGGAAAGGGACCAAATGAGAACAAACGCAACAGTTGGTTACCCTCCTGATTCATTTTCCCTTTACTCATTTACAACAAATCCCACATCATCTCCTACTGATATTAATGATTTTTTGAGATTCATTCTTGCTTCTCTTCAAAACATAACCTACGAAAGAACATTATTCATGCATGTACAACTTTGTAATGCACTTGAATATTTATTAGGGGAATCTTGATTAAGTAGGCGCATTTCATGACTACATTTACATTTTGTAACACTCAAAAATTTAAGCCAAATTTAAACTTTCAAAAACACGTCGAATTCGTCAAAACATTACAACTTTGTTTTCAAAATACATTTATATCATAGTTTTCCCAGAAACATAACACAATAGGAGGAGCTGTACGATCATGCTTTTGCCTTGCTGCGATCCCCTGAGGTACCTGAAACAATAAACTGAAACTGTAAGCCCGAGAGCTTAGTGAGTTACCCCCAAAATACCGATACACATACAGTCCACATAACCATGTCACACGTTAACATATCGTAACAAACTGAGCAAAAAAGCACATAACGGGTCCACAACTTTACAGATTGGAATACCCCTGGGCCCACAGTGTGAGTATGGAATACCTACCGGGACCTCAGCTTACATCTGGAATGTCTACCGGGCCCTCAGCTCGTATCTGGAATGCCCCCTAGTCCTCAGTATGAGTCTGGGATGCTTACCGGGCCCTCAGATCATATCTGGAATACTCTAGGGTTTGTTGGCTACCGTACGGAGCAGTACAGCCTGAACCCATCCCACATAACATATCACATGTAACAGATAATGCACATACCGGAAATCAATCAGTATCACAGGTAGTCCTACAGTCCTACCCTCAAGCGTATCAAACTAGCATGCATAACTAACTTCGAATCAACATAATACAACTACTAGGATATCATCTCCAATGGGCCGACCTTGGTGCCTTAGACCCCCTTAGTATAGTGAGGATAACTCACCTCGCAACTGTCGTCAGAAATAAGATAGCTCAACTCTCGGGTCCAACACGAACCCCACCACCTAAAAGTACCACACAACCTTTTTCATAAATCTCCCAAGGGGGTCTAAGGCACCAAGGCGGCCCATTGGAGATGATATCCTAGTAGTTGTATTATGTTGATTCGAAGTTAGTTATGCATGCTAGTTTGATACGCTTGAGGGTAGGACTGTAGGACTACCTGTGATACTGATTGATTTCCGGTATGTGCATTATCTGTTACATGTGATATGTTATGTGGGATGGGTTCAGGCTGTACTGCTCCGTACGGTAGCCAACAAACCCTAGAGTATTCCAGATATGATCTGAGGGCCCGGTAAGCATCCCAGACTCATACTGAGGACTAGGGGGCATTCCAGATACGAGCTGAGGGCCCGGTAGACATTCCAGATGTAAGCTGAGGTCCCGGTAGGTATTCCATACTCACACTGTGGGCCCAGGGGTATTCCAATCTGTAAAGTTGTGGACCCGTTATGTGCTTTTTTGCTCAGTTTGTTACGATATGTTAACGTGTGACACGGTTATGTGGACTGTATGTGTATCGGTATTTTGGGGGTAACTCACTAAGCTCTCGGGCTTACAGTTTCAGTTTTTTGTTTCAGGTACCTCAGGGCATCGCAGCAAGGCAAAAGCATGATCGTACAGCTCCTCCTATTGTGTTATGTTTCTGGGAAAACTATAAGATAAATGTATTTTGAAAACAAAGTTGTAATGTTTTGACGAATTCGACGTGTTTTTGAAAGTTTAAATTTGGCTTAAATTTTTGAGTGTTACAAAATGTAAATGTAGTCATGAAATACGCCTACTTAATCAAGATTCCCCAAATAAATATTCAAGTGCATTACAAAGTTGTACATGCATGAATAATGTTCTTTCGTAGGTTATGTTTTGAAGAGAAGCAAGAATGAATCTCAAAAAATCATTAATATCAGTAGGAGATGATGTGGGATTTGTTGTAAATGAGTAAAGGGAAAATGAATCAGGAGGGTAACCAACTGTTGCGTTTGTTCTCATTTGGTCCCTTTCCTTTTTTTTTGTACTCAATATACCATCGAACTTGTTGTTTGTGTTCACCATAACCCTTTGACCGGCTATCACAGGTCAAAAGCCGGTCAAAAGGGCTATGGTAAACACCAACAACAAGTTCGATGGTATATTGAATACAAAAAAAAAAAGGGACCAAATGAGTACCAACGCAAAAGTTAATTACCCTCAAGAGTTATTTTCCCTAAATAAAACTAATAAATAAGATAGAAAGAGTTGAACAAAGTTTATTTATTATAAAGGTAACCCTATCCATAACATTAAAATATTGCAATTTTATTAATTTAACAATCGTCTATAATGTTCAAAACTTATTATGTGTATCGTAATAATAATAATAATAATAATAATAATAATAATAATAATAATAAATAGATAGAAAGAAAACTAAGAGCACGGATACTTACATTTTTCAATATTTAAGCAAAAACGACACTTTACCGGATAGTTTAAGGCTTTAACTACAAGATGCCAAACTTACAATAAAATTATAAATACAAATAACAAAATATAAATATAAATATAAATAAGTAACATATACTAAATATGTAAAATAATTCGAATAAAATAATAACGAAAATATAATATGGGGAACACAAGGACGTCGGAAATCACCGCTCCCTACACAGCTATATATAGGCTACATTATTATCTAAAACCCCCTCTACAAGGTAAAGTTGCACACATCACATCTGACTTTTTCTTTTAGTTATTTTTTTTTTTCAATTTTTATAAAAAAGTTTCATAAATCATTATTATTATGTTATATTACACTGTTAATTTACTGCTAATTTGTTATGGTTATACTAATTAAGTATTACGTTCTAAAGATTTTACAAGCTTCATTACTACTACTTTTACTTGATAAAAATATAAGTCATTGTGAAAATATAATAACCATAATTTTACGAAATTTAAGAAAATCATAACGAATTTTTCGAAAATCAAAATTTCCAAAATTGCTTTTCAATATGAATGATGCTTGATAAACCTATGAAAACATTACAGATCCGAATAAAAGAAGAATAGAAGATTGGAGATGGGTCAACATTGTAAACAAACCCTAAGTTAAGTATCAAACAAAAAATAAATAATAATAATATAATTCGGAATTAAAGGTTGGAAAAATACCTCTTTATAGCTTTATCAGACAAACAGAGGCAACGGGAAGCATGCAGCACCGATGAGCGGGCGAGTCCTGAAGGCGGCCGGAACTCGAGAAGAATGAGAGACACGGAGAGGCAGATAGCTGAGGTCTGAGAGAACCGAGAGGCTGAGCCCTGAGGGCTTTTGAACTTATTTGTTTGTAAATATAAAGATACATTTTGTTGTGTTAAGTTAACCCTTGGTTTATATTTAGTCAAATAGACACACATACAAAATGAGAATTAAATTCTTACAAAATTTCAAAAATTGTCTTTTCCGGTTTTTAATTTTATTTCAAAGTAGTTGTTATGAAACATTTTTTGGAGCAAACATTGCTCACCCTTAATTTTTAGAGTAAATTACACGAATGGTCCCTATGGTTTGGGGTAATTTGCACGTTTGGTTCCTAACTTATTTTTTTAACTCGGAAGGTCCCTAGTGTTTGTTATTGCTACACGTTTGATCCCTATTGTTTGTTTTTGTTACGCGTTTGGTCCCTATCTTACCTAAAAAGATAATTATTTAAATAGAGAAAAATGATAGAGTAGGTAAGGTAAGGAGAGAGGATGAGATTGAGGGTGTGTTTATTTAAATAAATTAAAAAATCAAGGGAAAAATAAACTTTTTATGTAAGACAGGGACCAAGCGTGTAACAAAAACAAACAGTAGGGACCTTCTGAGTTAGAAAAATAAGTTAGGGACCAAACGCGCAAGTTACCCTAAACCATAGGGATCATTCGTGTAATTTACCCTAATTTTTATTTAGTTTTTCTTTTAAATATAAATAAAAATACTATATTGTCATTTAATTTTCTTATTAACCGGTGGGATCTCTCTCCCTCCGGTAACATCACCATTTCCCCCGCTAAACCCTTCTTATCCAGACCTCCACTCCATTCTTGACTTCTTGTTGATGTCATTTCTCTTCCTCTTTCTGAAGAACCTTAATAATCATTCTATTGTCGAAAAAATTGACCCCCTCCACCCTTAAAACACCTAGACTCAACTATCGTCATGAAACCTACCTAACAATTAGAAAGTTAGGGCTTGGATGGCGACATAGAGGAAGAAAATAAGGATTGAACTGGTAGGACATTGTGGTGTTCGTTATAGTTGAAGGATAACATCGTTGGGGTTAGAATTACTCGAAAAAGATAGATTGGGAAGAGATCGTCGCCCTTAACCACCTCTCATTACCGCCCGAACCAGATTTGCTTGGCGGTCGATGGTAGTGATGATGATTTGGCGGTGGTATCGAAGTTTGTTAGATAGTATTGATAGTGGTTAGAAGCAAGATGTAGTGGTGACGACTAGGTTTCTCATGTGGGTGTAGTGTCAGATTTAGATTTCTCTATATTTTTCTTGATTTGATTTCAGGTTTTTGATGGCTACTAGTGGTGGTTGCTCGTTATTTTAGGTGGTGGTGGGAGTAGGTGTTGTTTTGTCTACAATATGCAATGATTTTTTGGTCATGCCAGAATCTACAAGTGTTGCCAGAATTTTGTAGGTGTAACAGACGGAAGAAAGGACAATGGTGGTGTCGATGGGGAAAGAAAACGTAGTATGTGTTGGAATGGGTGGTGTTCCACGATAATGGCGGTGGTCAATGTTAGTAATAGTGGTGCAAGTGAAGGGTGGTGGTGGTAGTGATAGTGGTGTTTAATGGTAGTGTTGGTGATGGTGTTCAATGGTAGTGGTGGGTCGAGGGTAGTAATGATGGTGTTTAAGGGCACTGGCCACCGGTGGTGATGTTGACTGATGATCGTGTTAGAGACTAAATGGTAGGGATGACCATGAGTCGGTTTGGGTCGGTTTTTGGCTAAAACCAAACCAAACCGTAGAAAGTCGGTTTTTCGGTTTTTAAACCCATATAGGTTCGGTTTTTACATGGATCGGTTTTTCGGTTTTTCGGGTTGGGTTTATGGGTTTTCGGTTTTAAACCGTGGGTTTATGAGCTCCTGTTTTTTTTTTTTTTTTTCCTAATTTTTGGGTTCAACCCTAGTGAAAATACGTTGCGATAAATAGTATTGTATCAACTTTAAATATACTAAAATAAAGAGTACGAATTCTAGTATTATAAAAGCATAAAAGTGCTCAAAAGATCAAAGTTTAATACTATTAACAGTTTGTTGAAAATAAACATAAAATATTAAAGAGATAAAGTCTAAATTCTAAAACTAAAAGTTTAAATTATAATATAAATAATATATATTTGGGTCGGTTTGGTTTTTATGGGCGGTTTTATACGTCAAAACCGAACCAAACCGTTATTTTTCAGTTTTTGTAAAATTCAAACCTAAAACGTCGGTTATTGCTTTGGTTTTGGTTTTTCAATTTCGGTTATGTCGGTTTTTTCGGTTTTTTGGTTTTCGGTTCGGTTTTTGCTCATCCTTACTAAATGGTGATTGGTGCCGGAGTTCTGGTGATGATGGTGGGTTGAAGCACACAGAGGTGAAGATAGAGGTGATGTGGAAAAGAGAAAGAGAGAGAAATAAAGAAAGAAATAAAGAAAGAAAGAAGGAAGTGTTGTCTTCAAGATCGGTGAGAGGACAAAAATGTAATTTTATCGTAGGTTTTACAAAAAATAAAAAATAATAAGAGAGTTAATCAAAAAGACTAGTAATGAGACATATTTAAAACTAAAAAGACTACTAGTATGCAATGTTTGCTCTAAAGAGACCATTCATACAAAAAAAAAGATTTTATAAGGACTACTTTATGGAAAAATTAAAAAACATTAAAAGCATTTGTAAAGTTTTATCTAAATTTTTTAAAATTATTTTTTTTCTAGATATTAATAAAAATGAAGGTATTTTCAAAAAATAAGTTGATTCCCAACTTACTCAATCTATTTTTTACATAAGCTCCACATTACTTTTTTTTTGTCTTTTTCATTTTTACGAATTCATAACATGTGAAAATTATATCTTTTTCAACCCAATTGTTATTTCACTATTTTAGTTTAATTAAATTAAAAAATATAAAATAAAATATAACATAATATATATTTTTAATTATAAAAAACTAGTATGAATAAAAAATAAACGATAATTAAAGAAAAGGTAACAAAAAAAAGGACAAGATAATAAAAGAACTGCATGATAAGAAAAAAAATACACGATAATTCTAAAACTCTCAATCATATTTTGCTACAATTTCTAATTCCATTCAAACATTGTTTGTGGAACCCTTCCTGTCAAGTGATTATGCGGGTTGTGAAAAAACTTCATGACTATCTAGTAGAAACATTCATGTCAAGTGATCATTTTCATTCAAACATTTGCTCTGTTTATATTGTGGATGCCGACAATTTTGTTAATGATATCAACGATTTCATTTGGTGTTAATGATGTCGATGTCACTTTCTTTTATTTTCGTAGTCTCCGAGACTATGAGTTTATTTCATGAAACGTATGTTGTTGTAGGTCGAATCCGGGTGGAAATTTTACATCAGATGATGTTGTATAGGCATTGGATGAAGATGTTTTGGTTCGTTTTGAAGAAAGAGGCTGAAAAATCCCAAAATCACAATAAAGTTTTTCATTTTTAATTAAAGATAAATTATTGTTTTCAGCCAAACCCATGTAATAAAAACCCAAGATCAAGTACAATTGTTCCAAAATCAATGTATCATAACATCTCTAAAACATATCACCAAAGGATGTGTACGATCATGCCTTTGCTTTTCCCCGATCCTCTAAAATACATGAAACATAAAACTTTAACTGTAAGTCAAAGCTTAGTGAGTTCCCCCAATATACCTCCACACAAACATATAACCACATGCATACTAGGTCCACAACCATCAGGTTGGATTAACCCTAAGCCCACAACATGAGTCTGGTTTGCCTTTTTGGCCCATAGCTCATGTTTGGATTGTTCCCGAGCCATAACATAAGTCTGGCTTTCCCTACTGACCCTCAGCTTATGTCTGGCTTGCTCCCGTGCCCATAACATAAGTCTGGCTTGCCTTTCTGACCCATAACTTATGTATGGATTGCTCCCGAGTTTCTTAGCTTCCGTACAGAGTAGTATTTCCTCAACCCAACTATACTATGTCGACATATGCAACAAATAAATATATAAGCAGTAAACAGATAATCATACAGATCTAACTGATCACCACAACATAACAACATCCTATATATCAGGATACATAACCGAATGGGCCGACATTGGTGCCTTTGACCCACGAGTACAATGAGGAAACTCGCCTTATAGTATGAAAAGATAACAAAAAAGAACACTACTCCAAATTCCAACTTGAATTAGACTTCTTCGTGAAGTCCTCAACTACAAATAACTCGGATAGTGCTCTCGCATCTCTACATCGGGTTCCCAAGTCCATTCGAAACCCTTCCAATGCTGCCACTGAACTTTGACCAATGGAACCACCTTGTTGCACAAGGTCTTCGTCTTCCTATCCAAAATTGCCACTGCTCTCTCAACATAATCCAGGCGATCATCAACCTGAATGTCATCTAAAGGAATCACTGAAGAATCATCAGCTACACACTTCCGTAGTTGAGAGACATGATAGGTGTTGTGAATATGACTGAGCTCCCCAGGCAGATCTAGTCAATAGGCTACCTTACCAATCCTGACAATCACTCGAAACGACCCAATATATCGAGGCCCCAACTTATTCCTCTTCCTAAATCGTATTACACCCTTCCAGGGTGACACTTTTAATAAAACCATATTGCCAACCTGGAACTCCAACTCAGATCGATGTCTATCAACATAAATCTTTTGCTGATTCTGAGTTGTCGGTGACCTCTATCTGATTTGCTGAATAATCTCTATCATCTGAAGAACAACCTCGGTCTTTCCTATGACCCTGTTCCCGACCTCTCCCCAACAGACTAGGGTACAACACTTCCTCCCATAAAGAAGCTTAAAAGGTGGTGCACCGACACTGGAGTGATAGCTATTGTTGTAAGAAAACTCAGCCAAAGGAAGGTACGAATCCCAACTCCCATCGAAATCTATAACATAGTCTCCCAGCATATCCTCGAGCGGTGGATAGTTCTCTCAGTCTGGCCGTCAATCTGCAGATGATAAGAAGTGCTAAAATGCAACCTCGTACCTAGTCCCTTATGGAACCTTTACTAAAAACGAGAAGTGAATCAAACATCTCGATCAGATACAATGGAAATTAGAACACCATGCCAAGCGATGATCTCTCACACATACACATCAGTCAATTTCTCGGTCATGGAGCTTTCCCGAATAGCTAAAAAGTAGGCTCTCTTGGTCAAACGGTCCATTATAACCCAAATCGCATCAAACCCCTTAGCCGTCCGAGGTAACTTGGTGATGAAATCCATGGTGATCTTTTCACATTGCCACATGGGAACCTCTAAAGGCCGAAGCTCTCCGTGCGACCTCTGGTGCTTGGCCTTGACCATCCAACAATTCAAGCACCCCTCATCATATTAGGCTATCTCTCTCTCTCTTCATACACAACCACCAGTAACTAAATTGCAAATCCCAATACATATTGGTGTTGGATTAGGTGTCTAAGTTCATAACTATTTCTCGAATGTACCTGACCCGGTTGGCATGGTCCATTTGGGTTGCATGACATCATGACACTTGGATAGACAAAATGAGAGGAAGGACATTTAAGGTTTAGTAATATATTATAAGTTCTAATATATTAATAATATTATTTAATTAGTATTGATCAAGAATTAATTTGGTGATCAAAAGGAGACTAATTAAATATATGGGGTTGATTGTGTAAATAATCCATTCTTATATAGTGGGCTAATGATCCATGGTTTATTGAAATGGGCTAAAACCCATAAGGTGCTCCATGGATTGTCCATGGAGGTTATAAACCCATGGATCATGGAATATCAAAAATTCATGTCAACTAGGGTTTACATGTTGTAACCCTACTTGTGACACCACT